TTAGGTTTTGAGTGTTAGCTGAAGGATCCCATGATCTGAAAAGGCAGAAGGGGTTTGGGATGAAACCCCCTCTAATAAGGGTCATCTCTGAGACGGCCTGGTTATCTGGCTAGGAATGCTATCTCCTCACTAAAAGCCTGTGGTTAGATTAATGCAAGCGTTTGAAAATCTGCTGGGGCCTGATGGTGGGCAGCCAGGGAAGGAATGTGTTTTCTGTTTATCTCTTTAGTGGCAGAAATGTTCATCACACAAAGACTGTGAGCTCCCAGGTTCAGGCATGCCTGGAAGTGGCGCAGTGTGTAGCCCGTGTATACACCAGCTCCTGGGCAAGGAGGAAGAATCAGACCTTGTGTTCACAGCCAGGTCCCTGGGTTGGTCAACGGGTTAGTCGGTTTCTCTGACTTGATCGCAGGGATAGATCTTTCCATATTGTTCCAAGAGGCAGTTTTACCACCCCCATTGCTTTATCTCCCAGGAATGCAGTTGGAGTGGTGTCTCCTCCTTGACAGCTGGGACCTCAGTAAATTACCAGGGTCTTGACCCAAGAGATGAGAAGTCCTAAGTGATTTTTCAGTCTCCTATCTAAAAATGTGTTTACATTTCTTGAACTCTGGCTGACTGATTCATTCTCCTGGTGTTGCAAGAACTTCCCTTATGCATTAGAATTTATAAGTTTCGTTTCTGAGAGACCCAAGGTTCTTTCCAAGCCACAGTGAAGTGAACCTCATCACAACACAATTCGGCTGGGCCGGATTTGTCCAGAGGATGGATCGCCGCCAGGCAGCTGTGATGTGGCAAGCTCCAAGCCAGGCGAACAGGAGGCAGGGATGTGGAGGGAGAAGCACAAGACGTTAAGTCAGGACATCTGGGTTCTGGTTCCTGGTCTTGTGCTATTCTGAGATAAGGCCTTGAGCCAATCTCATAAAACCACTCTCTAGGCCTCAGTTTCCCCGAAACCTGACTTAAAATAAGAAATGTTTAAAGTCTCTGCAGAAGCCATTTTCAAATAAGACAGAAAGGAATGGCTGAGGGGGAAAAAAAAACGGAAGATCAACCCACAGGGGACCTTTTTTCAGGTCAAAAAGACAAAAATACAGAGTCATGGATGGTCACAGGCTCGTAAAAGAGCTACTTATGAACCAAGAATGGAGAGAACTTTTTGTTGGACACTGATCCCTTAGAGGAGACTAGAATCCTTATGAGTAGAGCCATGTGCTTAGCTAAATCTTTTCCTCAAATAAACATTCCTTTATAAACATTACAGTTACTTTCTTAGGGAGAGAAAAAGAAAAAATAAATTCTACCCTGAAGCATCATGGAGTCTTAGAGTCAGGCAGTCTTGGACTGAAGCCCTCACTAGTTGTTGGCATTCCATATCATCATAGAGGAGAATCCTGGGGATTACACACAACACCATGTGGTTCTTGCCTCTAGACAGTCTTCATCATGTCCATTAGTCTCCTCCCACCAGCCCCACCTCAGCCTTGACCTTTCCTTTGTTCCTTGTTCCCACCTCTCCTGTCGCTGGTCCACATTTTGAAGGGAAACGGAAGTCTCTCATCTCTCTATCTGGGAGTTTGCAGAAGCCTTTTCCTACTTTAGCAAAGGGTAATCATACAAAATTTATATTCCACAGCATCAGCAGGTTTTTTCCATCAATATTTCCTTTTTAATTTCAGTGTTATTTGAATTTTAATAGCACGAAGAATTTACTTTTGTTCTTCTAAAGAGCAACCAAAACAAGAAAAAAATCCAAATTTGAATACAAGGTCTTAACACCATGTATAGTGTGATGTTTAGTCTGTGCCTGTAAAAGTCACAGGTGTTATTTGGTGGATAAATCTGAATTCCATAGGTGTATATGTGTTTATAATTTTACATACCTATGAAGTAGGGATGCATGTGTGTGGTTCATATAAAAATTCATGAGACCTAGATATGACAACCTGATTCTTTTTCTCTCCGATTTTCAACATAGCAAACACTGAATCTGGAACCAATCTTCCCATGAATCTTTATGAAATTTCACCTTTGACCCAAACAACAGAGAAGCAGGTACAGTATTGACTCTGAATGAGCATGATACTCGGGATTAAGACTCTTGGGTTCTTATTCCAGCTTGCTGAGTGACCCTAGGTGAGATTCTTTACCTCTCTGAGCCTCTTTTGCCTACTCACTAAAATGAAGCACATAAACCATCACATCACAGAGGTTACTATACTCAGACTTGGAATGTCTTAACTGAGCTTGGACTATTGTCTGGATCTTCATGTATATCAATAGGCTGAGAAGGCTTTTCCCTGACTTGTTCAAAGTCAGAGAAGGAACAAGGAAACACCAAAAAGCTATCCTCTATTGAGGCAAAAGGCACACATTTTCATCCCTAATGGGGGGAAAATTATCAGTCATGGAAAAAAATGCGATGATCATGAAGAAAGAAGAAAACATTTCCTCTATTAATAGATACTAGGAATATCTATTAGTGTTTCAAGGTCATATGTGCAGAAATATTTACAAGTCTGCTTCTTCTTTGGAAGCTCTGAAGCTGGGACCACCTTCAGATTCCCGCTAGAGAGTCAACTCAGGGCAATTCCTAGAGCTGAATCCAAGTCTCAAAGAACCTGAGGCAGAAGCAGCGCAAAGCCCAGGGCACTCAGGTCTCTCCCTGCTGTGTGACAGTCTCTGGGGCCATGATCTCTTATTTCTCCCATATCTCCAACTTCCTGCCACAGTCTGGCTCCCCTCCTCTCCCTCACCTGTTAAAAATAACAATAGAAATGGGTGTTTCCCCAGTGCCCATGCAGGCTTCTGAGGTGGGCCTGAGCTCACTGTTGGAACCCAGGCTTGGGTCAGGCCTCTGCTGAGGTAAACACAGCTGGGCCGCCCCTCCCTGCTACAGAACCAACCATGAAGGTTTTTTGTTTTTTGTTTTTTTAAATGCCTATTTTGAAGACACCCCTTATAAGGAATCTAGAGGCTTTAAAAAAAAATAAGAGAACCTGTGACTAAGGAAAATATAATATGGTATATTTTGGTAATTCCACAACTCCAAAGGCCATGCAGATGCCTCCTCCACACTTCAAATTCATGCAGCCCCATGACTGCATTTTAACATCACTGGGAATGAAAGAGAACCTCAGTCATGTAATATTAAGTCCTAGGCTCAATCATGAACTTTGCTGTTAGAAAGAAGAGCACCAGGCCCTGGGTCTTAAAATTGAATCCTGGTTCCTCCTGCATAGCTGTGACAGGCTTTACTATGAGAACTTACTAAGAGAACTTCATGGACCTCCTTTGTGAAAAGAGGGGGTAGTTCCCTCCAGAACCAGTTGGTTCCTTATAAAGTCTCAGTGGTCTTTATTTCTTTAGAAAAAAGCCTGAATAAGAAACCATTTGAGGAAAAGTCTAGGGGGCCCCACCAGTCCCCAAACCCAGAGAAAATGGGGAGAAGGTTAGGCCTCTCACAGCCCCTAATTCTCAAAGCTAATGGCCCTTTATTGGATTAATCACTGACTTCCATGTTAACCACTTCCTCAACCCACTCCACATAAATGACTAATTTCATGTTTACTATAAAGCATCTGGAAAGGATTTAGAAACAAATTTCTGCACAGCAGATTTCAGTTACTTACCTTGATGGGCCACTGGCAAACAGGGTGGATTCCTTCCACTGTGGCCTTTCCCACTCTGCAGCAGGCGAGGATATCACACAAAATTGATTGTAATCAGCATCAGCCGTTCCTGCCCTTGTTTTCTTTTTTGTTGTTGTTTGTTTTTTTTGTTTGTTTGTTTGTTTTTTGTTTTTGTTTTGTTTTGTTTTGTTTTTGTTTTTTGGGTTTTTTTTTCCATTAATTCCCCCACTAACTCAACCCCCCTCCCTTGGGATCTGGCCCCAAAGGGAGCCACATAAAATATATTTTTTTTAAATCACAGTGCCTGCTGAGGTGTGGGGGTGGGGCGGGCTATCCCTAAAGGTGGGATATTTTGGTACCACGACGATCTGTGGGTGGGAGAGTCAGGGAGACTGTGCTTAGCAGCCTGGGTTGAGTGGAGTTTCCAGGTTTGGGAAGTTGCCTCTGGTGCCCCCTACTGGTGGGATTGAGCACCCCACGCCCTGGCCGGAGCAGAACGGGTTAGGATCCTGCCTCCAGTAGCCTGCAGAACACTCCGAAAGGATAGCAAAAGGTGAGAAGAACCCCTGAGGCACCCCTTCTACGTCTGACCAGAAGATCAGGAGGATCAGGGCCTCGGCGGTAAATCCTTCAGTAGAAATGAAAGCAGCAACTGCCACGAGCAACTTCTAGGAGTTGGAAGAGGGGGTTAAGTTGTGGGAAAGAGGGGGAAGAAAACTACAAGGGGAAATGTGGAGATGAAAAGAGCAATGAAAAAAGAAAAAGGAGACAAGCAGACATGTTTCAACTCCAAGCTCCCATTTCCTCTTTCAAATGAACTGCCTCCCCACTGTGAACAGAATCAAGTATTTATGAAGGCATTTTTTGCATATTAATAGCTGCATATGGATGGAGCCTTGCCAGTTCTGAAGTCCTAAAGGTACGGTGCCCTTTTTTTAATGCAGGTCCTCCCAACTCCTCACCGAATTTGGTGTTCTTCAGATTTATTTCCCTTTCTGCCTTGTGGCTCCTCCTCAGGCCCTGCATTTCATTAAGGGAAATTAGTTCCTAGGATACCTTCAGAGACCAAGCGCTGCTCTTCCCTCTGTGGGTAGCTGACATCAATCGCCAGAGAGCTTTTCCTCCTCCCCAGGGCCTCTCTGTGGAGGCTGCAGGTTGGGTGAGATGACCAGCACCTAAAAAGAGTATTAAAATTCCTGAAAGAATCATTAACATATCTCTGCAGTGGTAGAAAGTAAAACTAGAAAAAGTAAAATAGTTTCATTGACTTTAACATTACTGTCCATACTCGATAAAGATTAAAATCAACATTGAGAACCAGTCCAAAGAATAAGCAAAAGACATAAGCAATTAACATTAAAAAATGATGGTGGGGTGTGGCTCAGTGGTAGAATGCTTGCCTAGCATGCACAAGGCCCTGGGTTCAAACCCCAGCATCACCATTAAAAAAAAAAAAAAAGATGGTAATAGAAAACAAATATGGAAAAAATATTCATCCTAATAGCAATAATTTTTCTGAGTAGCAAATTAAATGCATATTGAGGCAAATTCCATATTGAGATTTCTGCCACCTCCCACTTTTTTAAACGATTGCACCCAGAGCTGCCAAGGTGTTGGTAAAACTGGTACACCTACAAACTTATGCTGTATTATAATTTGGTTGGATTCATTTGTAAAGCAATGGCAGTATGACTCATGAACTATGAAAAGGTATTCATACCCATTGACTCAGTATATCTGACTTCTAGAAATTTATATGAAGGAAATAATTCAGCAGGGGGAAAAAATGAGTAAACATGTCCATTGCAGCATTTCCTTAATAGAGAAAAAATTATAAACAGCCTAGAAGTCTATCAGAGAATTGATTATTATGATGGCATAGGGGTTTAATTCATGCACTTTTTTTATTCATGCTAGAAACTGTGACTTAATACTAATGATTCAACACAGGGTTTCTTAACCTCAACATCATTGACATTTTGGACCAGATGGGGAGATATTCTGTGCCTTGTAGGCTGTTGAGTGACATCCCTGGCCTCTACTCATTAGATGTCAGTAGCACACCTGCCCAGTTGTGACAACCAAATGTTTCCAGATCTTGCTAAATGTCCCCAGGGGAGCAAAATCGCCTATCTCAGTTGAGAACCACTGATTTAATATTTTGAAAGTACAATTATAATTGAAACTACTGTTTGTTTTGTTTTAAACTATCTATAAGGAAAAGACTTGCAAATGATACAATAAAAAAGTACAATCAGGCTAACTTGAAATTGGGGTGTGCTGAGGTTTTTTTGCTTTTATTTTGTTTTCCTGGGATTTTTTTTTTCAATTTTTTTAATTCTCCCTATAAAAGGGAAAGATGGATCATGAGAAGAGCTGATTTTATCCAAGGGTAGCTTAAAATATCTAGGAGTCACAATATACAACAAGAATACAGCAAACTAAGCAGGGCTCAACACCATAGCACCATCATTTTCTTCAACTACTATTGGTTTAAGTATTTAACCTTAGCTAGGTTTTTATTAGTCTATTGAATAGAGCCACCAGAATTCACCTTTCAAAGACCTCAACCCTTTTTCAACATTTTATCCCTCTGACTGTAAGGCTCAGGGAGACAATGAATTTGTGCCTCCCTCCCAGCTCTCAGAAAACTTTGGGTCTCAAGTATGAAACTCCAGTCAGCTTGGGACAAAGGCAGGGGTTCTGAGCCCAGTGGTTTAAAGAACTGACAGAGCAAAGAGGTTGTCAGCAAAGAGTAAAGAGCAAACTCAACCTCTAATTAGATTTCCCAAGAATCCTTGCATCACTTTGTCTAAAATAAGAAAAAGAGTATCTCCCCTGGCCTCACCTAATGGATTTTCTCTCTTTGTTCCAACTATCTCCAATATTGGGAGAGCAAACAGCCTTTCTCACATGCTTTATCTTGGGTTTGGCTTTTGTTGCTTTGTGGAGATTAGACACAATTTAGTAGTGTCCTAAAGATTCTGTTCAATTTGATCCTATGTGTCCTAAATTTGCTCTTTTGGGATTTCAGAGAGTAACCTGTAATTCTAGCATGCTAGGATTGGGGATGAATAATCCTGTGTACCCCATCTGTTTCCTCAGGGAGTTCATAGATGTTTTTCATATTTCTTGTCAGCTGCCTTCTTTCATGACAATAAACCCACACATACACCTGTGGACCCACTATGTTTTGTACAAAGGTTTTAAAGTAGCCTTTTGTCTCAGTGGTCCTTCAAAGCAATACCATACCCTTTATTCTGGTTAACATTTTGGAAAACTGTTACCTAAAAGAACAAACAACATGGGTTGGGGCTGTAGCTCAGTGGCAGAACATTTACCTAGCATGTGTGAGGCACTGGGTTCAATCCTCAGCACCACATAAAAATAAACAAACAAAGGCGTTCTGTCCATTTACAACGACAACATTTTTTTTAAAAAAAAGAACAAGCTACAGGACTTGAAAGACTTTTTTTTTTTTTAATCTTGCCTAATTTATCTTTGTATCCCTGTGTTTAGCACAGTTACTGGCACATGGATACCACTTTTTTAGAAAAATCAATAAATAGGGCTGGGGTTATAGCTCAGCAGTAGAGCACTCACCTAGCTTGTGCAAGGCCCTGGGTTGGATCCTCAGCACTATAGAAAAATAAATAAATAAAATAAAGGTATTGTGTCCATCTACAACTAAAAAATAAATATTAAAAAAATCAACAAATAAAATTCTTCAGTGACATGAAAGATTTCATATCATAGGAAGCCTATCATCTATAGAAATACATAATTCATAGAAAAAAAGACCATACTTCTATAATCCCAGCTACTCTGGAAGCCGAGGCAAGAGGATTGCAAGTTCTCAAGGTCAACCTGAGCAATTTAGTGAGATCCTATCTCAACATAAAAAAATATAAAGGGCTGGGGATGTAGAGCACCCCTGGGTTCGATCCCCAGTACTAAGAAGAAGGAAGGGGAAGAAGGAATAAGGAAGGAAGGGTGAGCCAAGAATCCTGGAAGGAGGCATCAGAGCTTTTACTTGTTTTATCTTCTCTGATAATGACAATGAAATTCAGCTGACATTTCTCTCACAATTCACACAACCTCCAGTGCCTCCTGCTGGTGGTTGCCATTTGGTACTTGGTATTTTGGTATTTTGCTTTGGATCATGTGCAGACTTGGAGATGTCAGCAGACATCCTTCTTGGAGATCCCTGTGAAGCTGATGAGTAGGATCACTGACGACTAGAATTAACTTTCTGTACTTCCCATGGGGAGAAATGCAAGGAACTCTACACTTGCTTTATTTCTAAAGTCAGCTCTGTTTCCCTTAGGTCCTCACTCTCATGCTCATGCTCTCTCTCCCCACCTCCCTCCATGAGTTTATAAATATCTTTGGTTGTAGAACTTGATTCAAAAGCCCCCTCCCCCCCCCCTTTTTTTTTTCTTTTTTGGTACCAGGGATTGAACTCATGGGCACTGACCCCTTAGCCACATCCCCAGCCCTCTTTTGTATTTTATTTAGAGACAGGGTCTTACTGAGTTGCTTAGCACCTCACCAAGTTGCTGAGGCTGGCATTGAATTCTGAGATCCTCCTGTCTCAGTACCTTAAGAGAGGTTTCGGTTTGGTTTGGTTTGGTTCCAGGGATTGAACCCTGGGGCACTTAACCACTGAGCCACATCCCCAACCATTTTTATTGCTTAGGGGCTCGCTAAATTGCTAAGACTGTCTCAAACTTGCAATCCTCCTGCTCAGTCTCCTGAGCTGCTGGGATTAGAGGTATGCACCACCATGCAGAGTAAGAGGGTCTTTCTGAGTGGTAATAACAGCCAGTGCTTTTTAGGTTTGTGTGCAGGGTGTAAGATTATCTCTCTTAATCCTTATGACAGCCCTATGGTAGGCACAGTAACTATTCCCATTTTACTCATGAGGAAATAGATGTCAGGACCAAAAGGGTGTCATTCACAATGACCTGCACTTACAAAGAGGCCTAGAGGTAAGAGGCCCATAAAGCTACATCCAGATTCCACTTTTCTTCACTGGCTGTGAAGAAGTTATATACCCTCTCTGAGGCTTACTTTCCTCATGCGTACAGGAGAATCATATTTCCCTCATGGGGTCATGACAAGGACAAGATGAAACAACATATGGGATGGGATTAGCACAACGCTAGGCACTCTGCAGCCCCCAGTAAATTATAATAACGATTATTATTTTAGTCTCCTGCCTTGAAAGCCATGAGACAGAGGACTTGGAGCTTGTATACAATCTAAGTGTTCAGACGTGTAAAAGGAGAAGTTGAAAAGCAAGAATAATTGAAAGGAAGACTGAGCCAACCGTCTCTCCTACCCCCGGCTCCTAACACCCCGTCCTCCTGAGCATCCTCTGTACTGTCTAGAGGGTTGACCTTGTTTCACTGCTCCAAAATGTTGCCTATTAGAGATTCCTTGGGTTTTTTCCATCTCATGAATTTTTTTTTAAAAAAACTTGTTTTCCACCTCTACCTGAGGTAGCAGGGCTGCAGGCCTGGGGGAGGAGGGAAGGAGGGGAGGCAGGGAATCCATGGGGCCTCTTGTCCAGCAGGGCCTCTACCCCACGGCACATAGCTTCTGAGGAAAACTGGGAGGTCAGATGACAGGAGGACCCAGAGGAGAGCAAAGGACATTTTTCTTTTTCTTCTTCCAGCCCTCTGCTGTCCCAGCATTCCCAGGGCTTGCCCAGTCCAGCTAAATTATGAATTAGATAAAGTTTTATGAGATCTGGGATTCAAAGCACCATGGGTAACTTTTTTTTTTTTATTATTCCCTAGTGAAAAGTGACTGGTTTAAAATAACTTTTTTGGAATCAATGTACAAGTGGAATTTCCCTGTCTGTTCGTTGTCAGATTGGAAAAGTCATAGCAGACTCAACAGAACAGGGAAGTCACACAGTGTGAGATTTGAATTCGGGGTCAGAAGGAGCTGGGGAGTTGTTCCCACTTCCCGCCCTCCACCCCACCTCCCACCTCTGCTCTAAGATGGGATATGTCATCGACCCAGTGTGGTGAAGCCCCAGCTGGAGCACAGTTGGACACCCCCTCTCAGAAAACGCTGGCTTCTGCCTCCCTAGGGGCAGAGCAGCTCATTCTTTTGGCTCAAAATTTTTCTTCTGCAGCTCCTGCTAAGCCAGATAAACAATGATTCTGTTGTGTCAACAAAGCACTTAATTAAATTGAGGACAATATAAATTAGAAGTCACAGATAAAGATTTACTTCCAAATAAACTAGAATGAAAGTGTCCTGTGTTTCACTATTCTAAATCTCCTTCAAGAGAACAATGAGATGAACCCTGTTTTCTGGGTAGGGAAACTGAGGCACCGAAAATCCAGTGACTTAGCAAATGAGTCCTTCATAAAGGCTAGGATAGGAGATTGCTATATTTCTCTTCTACATTAATGCTTGCTAGCTT